CCTCAATGTTAAGGAAATTGCGCTTTTGCACACTCCGGGATTCCGGCTCCTATTAGATATAACTTCGCGCGAACGCCGGCAGTACCAAAAATCTATCTTCGTAATTTATCGCCAACATTCGTGTGTCGATTACAGTTTTTGGAAAAAGTTTATTCTCGCCGTCTCCGCTAAAAAAATCGATAAAATACTAATAAATGACGACTTTTGGAAAACGAATTATTTTCTAAAGTGTCGAATATTATCCCCCAAATACTTTATATATTCGTTATGTAAAGTAATAAAATATATAATTGATATAATTAACTTATAAAAAATTTTCTAGCGAGTCTTTTGATATTTAATTATCATATTTCATTAATTTTTACAAATCCGTAAGAAGATAGAAACCTCAAGCAAAACACTTCTTTAGATATGAATAATATTATTGCCGTAAGAACAATTTATTTTCTGGATTGCTGTCTTCAAATGTTTTGTTTTGCGAGGAAACGATGCTTCCAATGTTTTTCTGTGTAATGCCTTATGCTATACGAAAGAAACTCGCTGAATTTGAGACTTCCATCGAGACATCGCATAAGATAGATCGACGCGTTGCAGTAAGATCGATTTGACCGCAGCCCAAAATGCACGGCCAAATGTGAAGCACATATTTATTGATAAAGTTATGATCGAACCCGGGACACCAGCCGTGCATTTTCATAAAACCGGGACGCTCGTAACGGGCGACACATGGAGCTGAGCCGTTTCTTCTAACTCGGTTGTCCTCGATGAGAACGAAAAAGCTCAATGAACCGCGCGCATAGTGGATACTTCAGTCATACGATTATGCATGTTTTTTCCCGGATCACGCATAAATTTATATTCAGAGCAAAAATATTGCAAAAATTTTTCACTCTCTCTCTCTCTCTCTCGAGCGCGCGCGCGCGCGCTTACTCTTACTCTCCCGAAATCGTTTACTATACATATTTTATATTCAACCGTACCTCTTGATAACTGTTAGCTAAGCCGTCAATATTTACAATCAAACTGAAAAACTGTGCGTCTCTTTCCTCGACCTCTTCTTCTATCAGACACATTTCAACGAAATAATGCTCGCATCGTGTTCAATTAAATACTTTTTATCATACAGATCAGATCACAATGAGTTGGGAAGATCGAGTTCAAAAGATCGATGGGATAACGAAATGTTAAACAAAAAAAAATTTTTTTGAGTACAGTGTCGAGAACTATCTTGCAAAAAGATTTATAAATACGTGCAGTTTCCCAAACGTACTGAATTTAAGAACCACGTACGTAAAACGCACCTAGATTTATATCAGTATGAAAAGAATGAGAAGAAAAGCAAAAACTGGAAATATTTTAGGCTAACAAGAGAAAAAAAAGGAGAATGTATTTTATGTGATATTGTCCCAAATGAATTTTCACAAGATGAAAACTTATCGGACCACGTAAAAAAGCATTTAAAACGAGAACAAAATCTAAAATAAATTATTAACAACAAGCTACAGAGCCCAAGCTGGATTTTCGTGCTTAATTTATTAATATATTATAACAAATGTTTAGGTCAATCTAGACGTTTCGACCATCTGGTTGTGGTCATCTTCAGTAGTTAGTTATTATAAAATTCGGAACATATTAATAAACAATCGTTACTTATAAAACTAATTCGGATATTACAATCTTCTTATATTCGTTAACACATACGAGTTCTCTAATATATCCTCTATTACATTCAACTAGTTTGCCATGTCCACTCAAACGACACGGACCTCCAATATCATTTTTAGCAAACTGACTCGTTACACCGAATTTAGTTTTGGTTCTTAGTTTTTTAAAATAAGAAAGTTTACACGAAAACACAACATGACGGTACTGCTATGCATTGAGAATAATTGCAATCAACCACAATTCAAGTCTTAAAAAGGACATCATGTATGTTTAATGTAAAACATGATTTCCTTCCTGATGATTTTAAGATTGGTGTTATTAGAAGAGGCATGACTTTCAAGATGTGTAGTCCTTCTAAACAATTTTTAAATGTAACGAATATAAGAAGATTGTAATATCCGAATTAGTTTTATAAGTAACGATTGTTTATTAATATGTTCCGAATTTTATAATAACTAACTACTGAAGATGACCACAACCAGATGGTCGAAACGTCTAGATTGACCTAAACATTTGTTATAATATATTAATAAATTAAGCACGAAAATCCAGCTTGAGCTCTGTAGCTTGTTGTTAATAATTTATTTGAATAATTTGAGCCAATATTATAGTTTTAAAATCTAAAATACTATGAAAAAGGAGATTGGGATTGGAAATACTTGACACAAACTGGAGATTTTTCTGCTAAATGTAAGCTTTGTGCAAATGAAACAAAAAGTGTTGAATTAATTTTAGATACTCGTGGTTTAAAAAAGCACATGGTGAAAGCACATAAAGAAAAGTAGCAAGAAATAGAGTTACGATATACACAGTCTCGGAAATATCAAACTGTAAAGCACTATTGGTTGAATAAATGTTATACGAAGCCTGTGCATTTTCGAACAGAATGTCGATTTTGCGAACAAAAAGTTGGATGTATCGCGGTAAAATCGCTTAAGAAACACGTAAAGAAGCATACATTTATTTACGACATTGAAAAGTCTAAAGAGACGGCATGTAACAATAACTGATCATATTTTAGGTATACGAAACAGCAAGTAAAAGAAGAAACAGAATGTATCATATTATAACAAAACTCAGATAATTACTTGTTCGAAATATATGTTACAAATGTTTATGTAAATTTCATCGAATCGCGTTTTGCAACATAGCTTGGAATAGCTTGGAATAGATACAATATCTACGTTTCTCAATGTTTTAAAGAAAGAACTGTTTGATTACATTATACAATTAAACATAAAAATATTATTTTTTGTATAATACTCTCGTGAAAAAAGTAGACGTCAGAACCCTTAGCAAATCTCTAACGATTGTGTTAAGAAAAAACTGGAGGATTATATATGTCGCAGTTTGGTATACAAGTATTGTTTTCTTGTGCATAAAAAGTAATTTCCAAATGCATGTACGAAATGTATATTCCTTTAGTTCCTTTTTACAATGCTTGTGTAAATACTTTTTAAAGAGTTCGTCTACATTTTCTATGACTTTATAAAATGATTTTCAATCATGTAAAAAATAAAAGTTTGGATGTATTGGCAAATGCGCAAGAAACAAACATAATGTTCATGTTATTAAAGATCATAACTAAAGAGCGATTGTGACAATTTTGTAGAAAATTACCAAATATTCGAACAAATGTATGTTTTGTAACAATAAATACCGTCACGATAAATTTTTAATATTTGTTAACATGTAGGAAAAAGCATATAAAAATTTCTAAATAGAAAGAGAAGAGAAAAGAACGAATACCGCCGGACATATGTTCAATATTTCAACAAATTATGTTTACAATATATTATCAGTGTAAAAATTCCATCTATATTTCGATTTTCAATAAATAATGTATCAATATTCTAAAATATTACAAGCATATACTAGATTGTATTATTTAATCATTTAAAAAATTTTCAATAACGAATTTAATGATATCTCTAAAATAATTCTAGCACGTAGCAGATTATATCATTGTATCATTTTAACGTTAAATATTAAAAAATGTCTCAACTATAAAATTAATGTTGTATCTAAGGTATTAAAAGTAAGAAATTGTATTATTTTATTATTTTAATGTTATTTCGTTTATTTCAAAAGTTCTCGAATCTTTTACGAATTTAATGTTATTGTTTGCGTCATAAATGAGCTTTTGACACATAGATTTGCACGTGGAAATAACACATATTTAGAGATTCATGTAATTATTTAAACATAATTCAAAATTGATTATATATTCAAATAGATACATAAAGCATGTGATAATAATTATAACATTTACATTATACACAAAAATACATTTACATAAAAATATATATACGAAACCCATGTTTTATTTAATTACGTTACACAACTATTTATTACGCTTCCTAAAATTGAAGAACAAAAAATACGTTTAATTATCAAGTTAAATAAGCAGAATTACAATTTGTTCTTACTTGACAAGAGTGATCGGAATTAATTAAACTTTCCGGCCGATTTTTGCGGTCAATGTATTTTATTATAAAAATTTATATTTGTTACCTACTTTCTTATTTATCTAAATATTTTCTATGTTACAAAAATAGAAAAATGCTTTTTACTCACAAACAATAAAAAGACAGTAAATTATAGCAAATTTCAAGTATTAAATAATTGCCTATTTTAATATATATATACTAGTGTTTAAATCTAAAACCTTGAAAACTGTAGCTATGAAGTAATTAACAACAGAATAAAATATAAAAATCACACCAATAATTTGGAGTATATTGCACTACAAAACAAAAGAAATGACGATAATGGCGATGGTGGCGTATTTAAAATATAAGAGAGATGAAAAAACAGGCATGTAAGGATTTATATTTCTGCAATGTATCAAGTGCCATATTATATTTTATATATTTTATATATCAATAAATTAGAAAAATGCTCATATTTTATCGATGCAGTCTGTAATATAGATCATAATATTAATTATATTGACTATAATCTCCATTAATTTTTTGTACATTATTTCCCAAAACATTATTTATCTGCGTAACGAACGAAATGTAATGCTTCTCTCTGCTCTTTTACTCTCCACCATATCATTGTTCTCGCTCTCTCTCGCTCTCTCTCGCTCTCTCCCTCCCACTCTCTTTCTATCACACGCGAAAGCGTTCTTACTCTCTCAAAATCGTTTACAATACATATTTTGCATCGGATCCTACAGCTTATCTTGATAACTAGTTAGGTAGGTAGGTTTGAAGGCTGTCAGTATTTACATACAAACAGAAAAACTGTACGTCTCTTTCCTCGATCTCCTTTATCAGACACTTTTCAACGAAGTAATGCTCGCATCGTGTTCAGTTAAATACGTTCTATCATACAGATCAGATCATAATGAGTGTTGAAGAGCGAATTCAAAAATTCTTCCCCTGGGTAGAGGAATGTTTTATTAAAACTGACAATTTTCGTGTACAGTGTCGAAATTTATCTTGCCAATCAAACGAAGAAAGATATAAATACTTGGAGTTTAAACGTCATACATTTAAGAACCACATACGTGACACGCATCCAGATTACCATCAGCATGAAGAGAAGATGGCGAAAAACAAAGACTGGAAATGTTTTAGGCTAACAAAAGACAAAAAGAAAGCATGTATTTTATGTGATATTGCCCGAAAGAAATTTTCACAAAATGAAAACTTATCGGAACACCTAAAAAATCATTCAAAACTAGAACAAAATTTAGGACGAGATAAAAATGAAGCTTGGTATTGGAAATACTTGGAACAAACTGAAGATTATTCTGCTAAATGTAAGCTTTGTACACATAAACCAAAAACAGATGAATTTATTATAAATCTTGAGAAAATGAGAAAACACATCTTACAACATCATAAAGAAAAGAGCCGCTTAATAAATTTACAATATAAAAATACTTGGGAATTTCAAATTGAAAACCACTATTGGTTGAATAAATGTTATAAAAGGCCTAAAAATTTTCTAGCGCAATGTAAATTTTGCGAGAAAAAAATTACATATGTCAAATCTGAAAGCATTGAGATTCATATGGAGAAAGAACATCCATTACTTCACAAAGAGGAAAAACTTAAATTTCAGGCATGCAACACATACTGGCAACATTTAAGGTTTACGGATGGATTATTAACAGGAATACAATGTATGAAATGTTTTCTACTTATACAAAGTGACGAAGCAGAAATTCATGTACAGCATCATTTTACAGACGGTCTAGAACCAGGTACAAGAAAACATTGGACTTTAAAATACGCAAGACAAAACGCAGATAGTGTGACATGTGTGTTTTGTGAAAAAAATTTAACCCTTACGGCGAAAATTACTGAGTTAAAAAAGCATGTACAAAATTGTCATATAGAAGATATGAATACAATAGACAAAGAAAACTTATTATGGACTCAACTTATAGGTGAACAATGGAAGTGGTTGGAAAAATATTATATGAATGTTGCAAATTTTCGAGCAGAATGTAAATTTTGCAAACACAAAGTACCATATATCGAGTATACACAATTTGAGCAACACATGTGGGATCAACATTTTGTTATTGCCTGCCTTGAAGAATCAAAAATGATAAAAATCTGGAAAGCTGAGAAATATGTAAGATACACAAATAATGTAACAGAACATACATTAGACGTAGAATGCATCATATGTGAAAAAAATGTCGCACTACCTCACACAAAACATTCTCCATATGAGCTGCTATTCGATTCTCATTGGGCACTTAAATACGCGATACAGAATGGACAAGTTGCAAGTTGTGTTCTATGTAAAGATGAAGTAAACTTTAAATGGGCCCTGGAAAATTTAGAAAACCACATGACATCTATACATCCAGAGAAACGGAAACAAATACGTCAAATAGATTTGGTACAAGGAACAGTACACGACCAAGCTACACCGTCGACAAGCTACGCAAGTTGAAAGAAAACCGATCGTAAGTTTTACTCATATTTTATTAATTATTATTGATTAGTAATATTTGTCATAAAACTTTATTCTTGTAGTGGTGTACTCAATCAAACTATGATAAAAACAACAAAAATCAAATAATTATTTGCTTTAATATATTACAAATGTTTATAGATTTATCTACATTGGACAATGGAAATGATGGTAGCGACGTTTTCAAGTAGCATCTCATGACCAGCGATAACGACAGTCTTGACTTTGACCAGAGTGATTTGAACTACATGAAGACATTAACGTATAATTTGACTTATTTGTCGCATATCGGTTTTGTGTTTATAAATGTATAACATTGGTAAATTTAAATACATATATATTTATAAATTTATAACTTAACAAAATTGTTTAAATTTATATATTATATATATAATTATAGTCATTACTTTAAAACATAATATTCTTTAAATTATGCTTTAAAATCAAATACTGTGTTACTACTTACATTTATAAAAACTAAACCGATTTCATGAATACAACAAATTTTTTCTCTAATGACGAATCTTCGAGTGACGTACTTAGTACATAAATAAAAAGACAAACAAAACTCAAATAATTAGTACTTATTCGAAATATATGTTAGAAATGTTTCTGTAATTTTATCGAATCGTATTCTGCAGCTTAAAACGGATCTGTCTACGTCACTCAGTATTTGAAGAAAGAAACTATTGATTATATATTTTGCAATGCAACATAACAATATTACTTTTTTGTACAGTATTATCGTGAAAAAAATAGACGTTAGAACATTTCGCAAATCTGTAACAACTGTCTTAAGAAAGAACTGGAGGATTATATATGTCGCAGCTGGACATAGATGTATTGTTTTCTTGTGCACAAGAAGACACTATTTCTCAAATCCATGTATGAAATGTATATTCTTTTAGTTCCTTTTTACAATGCTTGTGTTAATATCTTCAAAAAAGTTCGCACGTCTACATTTTATATGACTTTATGAAATGATTTTGAATAATCCTGTAAAAAGTAAAAGTTCGAATATGCGCAAGAAACAAACATAATGTTCATGTTATTAAAGATCATAACTAAAGAGAGATTGTGACAATTTTGTACAAAATAACCGAATATTCGAACAAATGTATGTTTTGTGACAATAAATATCGTCACGTTAAATTTTTTAATATTCGTGAACATGTAGAAGAAAGCATATAAAAATTTTTAAATACAAAAAGTAGAGAACAGTACGAATACCGCCGGACATATGTTCAATATTTCAACAAATAATGTTTACAATATATTATCAGTGTAAAAGTTCCATCTATATTTCGATTTTCAATAAATAATGTATCAATATTCTAAAATATTACAAGCATATACTAGATTGTATTATTTAATCATTTCAAAAAGTTTCAATAACGAATTTCATGATATCTCTAAAATAATTCTAGCACGTAGCAGATTATATCATTTTATCATTTTAATGTTATCCCTATTTAAAAATTTTTAAACTATAAAATTAATGTTGTATCTAAGGTATTAAAAGTAGGAAATTGTATTATTTTATTATTTTAATGTTAATTCGTTTATTTCAAAAGTTCTCGAATCTTTTACAAATTTAATGTTATCGTTTGCGTCATAAATGAGCTTTTGGCACATAGATTTGCACATGGAAATAATTTGGAGATTCATGTAATTATTCAAACATAATTCGAGATTGATTATATATTCACACAAATACATAAAACATGTAATAGTAATTATAACATTTATATTATATATATATAAAAATATATATAAAAAACCCATGTTTTATTTAATTACGTTACACAACTATTTATCACGCTTCTTAAAATAGAAAAAAATACGTTTAATTATCAAGTTAAATAAGCAGAATTATTATTTGTTCTTACTTGATAAGAGTGATCGGAATTAATTAAACTTTCCGGCCGATTTTTGCGGTCAATGTATTTTATTATAAAAATTTATATTTGTTACCTACTTTCTTATTTATCTAAATATTTTCTATGTTACAAAAATGGAAAAATGCTTTTTACTCACAAACAATAAAAGACAGTAAATTATAGCAAATTTGAAATATTAAATAATTGTCTATTTTAATATATATACTAGTGTTTAAATCTAAGACCTTGAAAACTGTAGCTATGAAGTAATTAACAACACAATAAAATATAAAAATCAAACCAATAATTTGGAGTATATTGCACTACAAAACAAAAGAAATGACGATAATGGCGATGGTGGCGTATTTAAAATATAATTGAGATGAAAAAACAGGCATGTAAGGATTTATATTTCTGCAATGTATCAAGTGCCATATTATATTTTATATATTTTACATATCAATAAATTAATAAAATGCTCATATTTTATCGATGCAGTCTGTAATATAGATCATAATATTAATTATATTGACTATAATCTCCATTAATTTTTTGTACATTATTTCCTAAAACATTATTTATCTAACGAACGAAATGTAATGCTTCTCTCTGCCCCTCTTTCACTCTCCATCATATCATTGTTCTCGCTCTCTCTCGCTCTCTCCCTCCCACTCTCTTTCTATCACACGCAAAAGCGTTCTTACTCCCCCGAAATCGTTTACTATACATATTTCGCATCGGATCCTACCGCTTGTCTTGATAACTGTTAGGTAGGTTTGAAGGCTGTTAGTATTTACATACAAAAAAACTGTACGTCTCTTTCTTCGATCTCCTCTATCAGACACTTTTCAACGAAGCAATGCTCGCATCGTGTTCAGTTAAATACGTTCTATCATACAGATCAGATCACAATGTGTTTTAAAGAGCGAATTAAAAAAAAACACCCCTGGGTAAAGGAATATTTTACTAAAACGGCCAATTTTCGAGTACAGTGTCGAGAACCATCTTGTAAAACAATTTTAAAATACGTGGAGTTTCGAAAATATCTTGAATTTGAAAAGCACATACTTGAGACGCATTCAGATTATTATCATCATGAAGAGAATGAGATAAAAAACAAAGACTGGAAATATTTTAGGTTAACATCAGAAAAAAATAAAGCATATATTATATGTGATATATGTAAAACCCCAAATCAATTTTCACAAAATGAAAACTTATCGAAACACGTAAAAAAGCATTCAAAACTAGAACAAAATTTAGGACGCAGATATGAAAAATAGGGTTGGAAATATTTGACACAAAGTAAAGATTTTTCTGCTACATGTAAGCTTTGTACAAATGATACAAAAAGAGAATTTACTGTAGACATTACTAAAATGAAACGGCACATCTCAAAAAAACATAACGAAAAGAGCCACTTAATAGATCCACGATATAAACAATCTTGGGAATTTCAAATTGAAAACAACTATTGGTTGAATAAATGTTATAGAAAGCCTGTGGATTTTCTAACAGAATGTAAATTTTGCAACGAAGAACTTGCATATGTCGACCCTAGAACCGTTCAGAAACTTATGAAAAAGGAACATAAATTAATTCACGAAATTGAAATGAGTAAAATGAAGGAAAATAACAAAACCTGGCAATATTAAAAGTTTACGGAACCAGATTCAATAGATAAAGTACAATGTATGAGATGTGATAAAACGATGCCACGACGAAGCAGAAAATCATGTAGAAAAATATTTTACAGGCGGTCTAAAACCATGTAAATATAAAAATTGGACTTTTAAATACGCAAGACGAAACACAGAAAATGTGACATGTGTGTTTTGTGAAAAAAAAGTAACCCTTACGCCCTTAGTCCAAGAAGACTTATTGTGGAGTCGTGAAATTATATGGAACACACATTACATGGTATACAAATGGTGGACAAAATGTTATATAAATGCTAAAAATTTTCGAGCACAATGTAAATTTTGCAAACACAAAATACCATATATCACACATACACAATTTTTGGAACACATAAAGAACAAGCATAGTGCTCTTCACACGCTTGAAGAAAAAAAAATACACCTGATATCTTCGACGAACCTCAGTGGAATTATACAAAATACATAGATGAATTAATATTAGATGAAACAAATCTAGAATGCATCATATGTCAAAAAAAAACTACCTCACATACATGATTTTCCACATGAACTGACATTCGTTTCTCATTGGGCACTTAAATACGCGAGACAGAATGTAAAAGTTGCAAGTTGTATTTTATGTAAAAATCAAGTAAACTTTGAATGGGCCTCGGAAAATTTAGAAAACCACATAACATCTGTACATCCAAAGGAACGGCAAGAAATACGTCAAATACTTTTGGCACAAATGACAGTACACGACCAAGCTAAACCGTCGACAAGCTACGCAAATTGAAAGAAAAACGATCGTAAGTTTTATGCCCGATTTCACTAACGTAGATTAATTTTAATCTCGGTTCAACTTACTCTTCACCTTTTTCTAATTCTTAGAACTAGAAAAAGATGAAGAGTAAGTTGAACCGAGATTAAAGTTAATCTATATTGGTGGAAATGGGCATTAATCATATTTTATTAATTATTATTGATTAGTAATATTTGTCATAAAACTTTATTCTTTTAGTGGTGCACTCAATCAAAATATAAAAACAACAAAAATCAAATAATTATTTGCTTTAATATATTACAAATGTTTATAGATTTATCTACATTGGACAATGGAAATGATGGTAGCGACGTTTTTAAGTAGCATCTCATGACCAGCGATAACGACAGTCTTGACTTTGACCTGAGTGATTTGAACTACATGAAGACATTAACGTATAATTTCACTTATTTGTCGCATATCGGTTTTGTGTTTATAAATGTATAACATTGGTAAATTTAAATACATATATATTTATAAATTTATAACTTAACAAAATTGTTTAAATTTATATATTATATATATAATTATAGTCATTACTTTAAAACATAATATTCTTTAAATTATGCTTTGAAATCAAATACTGTGTTACTTTATTTATAAAAATTAAACCGAGTTCATGAATACAATAAATTATTTCTCTAATGACGAATTTTCGAGTGACGTATTCAGTACATATATAAAAAGACAAACAAAACTTAAATAATTAGTACTTGTTCAAAATATATGTTAGAAATGTTTATGTAAATTTTATCGAATCGCATTCTACAACTTAAAACAGATATGTCTACGTCACTCAGTATTTGAAGAAAGATACTATTGATTATATATTTTGCAATTGAACATAAAAATATTACTTTTTTGTATAGTATTATCGTGAAAAAAGTAAACGTTAGAACTCATAGCAAATCTGTAATAACTGTCTTAAGAAAGAACTTAAAAATTATATATGTTGCAGTTGGACATAGATGTATTGTTTTCTTGTGCACAAGAAGACACTATTTCTCAAATCCATGTACGAAATGTATATTCTTTTAGTTCCTTTTTACAATGCTTGTGTAAATACCTTTTAAAGAATTCGCACGTCTACATTTTATATGACTTTATGAAATAATTTTGAGTAATTATGTAAAAAGTAAAAGTTTGGATGCATTGGTAAATGCGCAAGAAACAAACACAATGTGCATGTTATTAAAAATCATAACTTAAGGGCTTTGATGAAACTACTGAATATTCGAACAAATGTACAATATGTCGTGCAAAAATAAATAATGTTACATTAAATTTTGTAATTTTCGTAAACATGTAGAAGAAAGTATACAAAAATTTTTAAATGACAAGAGAAAAGAAAAGTACGAACACCGCCGTGTAGATATGTTAATTATTTCAACAAATTATGTTTGTATTATCTGTGCATATGTTCGGTCTAAACTTGAATCTTTAGTAAATAATGTATCAATATTATAAAGTATTACAAACTTGTAGGAGATTGTATAATTTTATTTATTTAATGTTATGCTTATTTAAAAATTTCTCGATCTCATGATATATGTTTTCTTAAAGTATTATAAGTACGTAAAAGATTATTATTTTATCATTTTAATATTAATTTTATTTAAAAATATCTCGATTACGAATTTAATGTTATCTTTAAAATAATTCAAGTATGTAGCAGATTGCATTTTATCATTTTGATGTTATAATAATTAGAAATTTCTCAACTATAAAATTAATGTTGTATCTAAAATATTATGAGTAGGAGATTGTACCATTTTATTATTTTAATGTTATTTCGTTTATTCCAAAATTTCTCGAATTTTTTGCAAATTTAATGTTATTGTTTACGTAATAAATTGAACTTTTCGCATAAGTTTGCACGTGAAAACACATATTTTAAAATTCTCATATAATCATTTAAGTATAATTCGTGATTAATTATATATTCAAACAAATACGTATAGCATGTGATAATAATTGTTACATGTATAATACATATACATGAAAAAAATATATAGAAAAATCATGTTTTATTTAATTATGTTATACAAATATTCATTACATTTCCAAAAATTGAAAGAAAAATATAGTTTAATTTAAATATAGTTAAATTTTGATGAAGTTGAATAAGCAGTATGAAAGCGATTTATTCTTGCTTTATAACAGTGCTCGGAATTAGTTGAACTTTTCGACCAATTTTTCTGGTCAATATATTTCATTATATAAATTTATATATGTTACTTTTTTATTTAACTAAATATTTTCTATGTTACTAAAACGGAAAAATGTTTTTTACCCACAAACATTAAAAAGATAGTAAATTGTAGTAAATTTAAAATATTAAATATTCGCTTTATTTTAATATAAATACTAAAGTGTTTAAATCTAAGACGTTTAAAACTGTAGTCATGATATAATTCGCAACAGAATGCTAGAATATGAAAATTAAACCAATAATTTGGTGCATATTGTGCTGGAGAATGAAAGAAACGACAATAACAATGGTGGTGTATCTAAAATATAAATGTGATAAAGAAATGGGCATATAAGTATCTATATTTCTGCAATGAATGTATTAATTACAATATTATGCTGTAAGTATCAATAAATTAGAATACTTATATTTTATCAATGTAGTCATTGTTATAGATCATAGTATTAATTATGAGCAATAAATCCCATTAATTTCTTGTACATTATTTCTCAAAACATTATTTATCTGTGTAACGAACGTACTGTAATGCTTCTCTCTTCCCCTCTCTCTCTCTC